ATCCACAGCATAGAGTCCTAAGCAAATGTACACTAGTTCCCCATATAGCCCTGCACTGTGGCAAGTATTATATTACCAGGTACCTTATATCATGAGTCACACAATCTGTTTAAAGGATACAAATATCGGCCTAAAATAAAGTATAAAAAACATTTATAACTATAGAAATCCTTTTTTCTGGGCATAATTACCCAGCACTGAGCAGATAGAAGCAAAAGGGCAGCTGGAAAGGGAGGGGGAAAAAGAAAAAAAGAGAATTTTATAAGATTAAAAAAAATCAGTATTTTCTGAACCTGCAAAAATGCTTCCAGGGTAATTACTTTACTTTGTATGCCAATATGACTCACGGCAAGATGCTTTGCTGAGAACTGTGAATCTGCTTGAATTTGAAGCAAGGAGTAAGTGGCTCTCATGGTAACTAGTGTCAATGAGATCTGCAGATGTGAATCACAATACCATAAGAAAAAAACACATCTGAAACACATTCTTCTGGATATTAGCAAAAGCTTAACTCTAGTTCCACTTGGCCTGGGAAATGTTTCTGTCATTCTGCTGGACCAGCCCACACATACTGGGCTCTTGATAGGTTCTGGGCGCAACCATCTGGCCCTTTATTTACTTAACTCTTTTCTAATACTGACAAGCACATTAGTAACACTCCTTTGATCACTAGTAAATATAGAGCTAGTGCACAACTAACATCTTCCCTCATTCTGAAAGTCACTAATTAGTGGTGGGTAGGAGTTGAAGAGTATTACAAAGACATGTTGAGCATTACTACAGTAAGTAATCTAAATATCCCTGAATGCATTCTAATTTATTTCCCACTTCATTAGAGGAATGGAAAACACCTTGTCAACACTAAAGGAATCCAAAAAGAGACCAGAGCATTTGAAAGGATGGTAGGTAGTTAAGGAACATGAATGATAGCAGAATTTGGGGAGGAGGAAATCTACATTTTTTTTCTTGATATCTTTCTTTTCCTTACATAACAGTATGAGTCAAGGCTTGGGAATGGAACATGACTGTAATCAGAGCATTCATGAAATAGGAAATCTATTTTTTTCTTGATTTCTTTTCCTTACATAACAATATGAGTCAAGGCCTGGGAATGGAACATGACTCTAATCCCAGCATTCATGAAATAAAGTCAGCATGGTCACTATAAATTAAAAGCCAGCATGGTCTATGTAGTGAGACTGTCCTCTCAAAGGCCAAAAAGAAAAGGCAGTCATTTAAGAAATACAGGTTTCCAAATGAGACAAATTAGGTGGGTGGCTCCTGTTTCTAGAACATGATTATTCTAACTAGTACTTATATAGAACAAAACTTCATAAGCCATATTAATCTTTGCATACAAAAGTTCTAAATAATTTTATTTTACAGAGTACAACATAGGCTTAAAATAGATAATGCCCTTCCAAAAGATATTAAAAAGACATTTAGAAAAAAACATTAATTCTTATATATATTTCAAAACTGGGGATTTATATAGTTTGAGTCTATTATAATTTATTTATAGCATATTTTTACATAGATGAGAGACAGTTAAATTTTCTATTAGATCAGATTGTTCACAGAAAGTCAGCGAATTGTTTTGTGTGTTAATTCAAGCATCAGAACTCAACTCCCTGCGAGTTGAGTCTGTGTAGGCTCAGCCAGTCATCCTCATTTCTAAGCTTAAAAAATGAGACACCTAGCAAAGACTTTCAGAAGTTATTTTGGATTTCAGTTTTGCTCACTTGTTCCTAGACATTTTGGGGAAGGCAACCATTTCTTATAGTACAAAACCCAAATAGCTAGAATCTGAACTAAAAACATAATCTTACTCATTGTGAAGTATTTCATATCCTTATCAAATTCTATAACTAATGAATAACTAATGAAAAACCAACACTTGGTTGATATGCAGAAATAAACTGATGTAAGGATAAACAGAGTAAGTAAGAAGATGCACACACTGGAGAACATGTATTTTAAGATGTGTCAATGAATTGGGGAATATGTTAGTTACTGATATGTGAAATAACATTGATTTTGCTTACAGATAAATACCAGGTATGGAGATGAGACATAATAGGAACCTTGTGCTGCAATGGAACAAAAAACAAAACAAAATAAAAAAAAAACAACAACAACAAAACAAAATAAACCCCTCGGCAGGACAGTAGATGTTTCCCAGAGTTCCGAGGAAGTGATTAACTAGCCAACAGAGCTTTTAGACATGGCGGGTATGTAAGCTCAGAGGACAGCAATGTTGATGGCCTCTACCCATTATAAAAGGCTTTGCCAGTACAGATTGGATGCCTGGAACCAAGCACTACATAAAACAATAAAATCTGGAGCCAACTGAGAAAAGATTCAACAAAATCCACTTCCAACTGCAAATATTCCCAGAAACCTATACTGAAGAATGTTTTCACTTGGGAATAGCATACACTGTTTATTATCTAGTGCTTACCTCTACTTACCCTACTATACAGAACAAGATGCCTAAAACATCAATCTAAACAAATCGAAGTCTGTTGCACACAAAAGTGATTTTAACTTTAGCTGGCCAAGATTTCTGTTGATAGGTATGACCAGAATGTCACTACATGAGCAGATGGCCCAAAGCAAGCCTACTTCATTGACAATGTACTATGTGGTTCTTTGTGTCCCAAACAAGCAAACAAGCAAAACACAGAAAGAGGTCACTGTGCCCTCCTTTGTTTGATGTAAAGCTTTATCTGTGAAATAGGAATATAAAGTTACAGCACAGATATTAATGCTGTATAATTCCATTTCTATATAACAGTTAATGAATATCTAAATGTTCACAATAAAAATCTTAGATTTATGAAAATAGAAATATATACAGAAACAGTACAAAACATTGATGTTTGTAGGAACATTAATGCAAATGGAAATAATGATAGTAAGTGAAAGAGGCCTGTCTCGGGAAGACAAATAATCTATGTCTTATTTCACATGTGGTGCATAGAGAAACAAAAGCAAGTGTGTACACATGATACAGTGGAAGTAAAGCTGCAGAGGGGAATAAAGGAGATGAATGGGAGAGGTAAGAGAAGAGAAAGTGGAAAGGCTTGAAAGGTGGGGGGCAATATATTTAGTGCACAGTATACATCAATATGAAAAATTTGTAAAGTAAGGCAAAAACTTTCAAAATGAAAAGTACATGGCACATTTTTGTTTTTAAAGGCTGTGACTACCAGCTAAAGAAGAATAATCATATTTATCATTCTAGGTTTTTAAGCAATCAAAGTCATTTACATTTATTAAGTTCCATGGAAAACTTAAGAAAAATTATTTAAAATCCAAATTCCTACAGTGCACAGAGATGGCTCAAACGGTAAAACGTTTGCTATGCAATCATAAGTAACTGAATGCAGATCTCCAGCACCCACACAGAAGGTGGTATGGAAGCATGCATTGTAGCCCAAGTGCTAGGCAGGCAGAGACAGGTGGACCCTGGAGTTCTCTGGCCAGCCAGTCCAACTGAATTGGTGATTCATTAGACAAAATAGTGATGACTAAATACTGTCCAAGTGATAAGTTTTATACTATGAGACTTTCCAAAACATATAGACACACACACACACACACACACACACACACACACACCAAACTGAATTCTCAGTGTGCTAACCTCATTTCTATCACTATCCCACAATATGCTTTACTTAGAGTCTGTAAAATAAAAAAAGATGATACAGTAGCACGAGATAAATTAAGAATATATTTCTATTTGCAATAACTAATAATAAAGATGGATGAAATTATATCATTAAATGCATAGATACATGTGGTTGTGGAAACTTACAAAGAGAATTCTGGTTACCTACCTTCAAGAAAGAGATGATGAAATATGAGGTTCAAGAATACATCTTTAGTACCTCTGTATCTTAAAATATTGCCTAGTATTAATTTTTCATCAAGTTGTCATTTTCTCTGACATTTGGTTTTATTAATCAAGGCATTTATCATTAATTTGTAGAAAATATCATAATTAAACCAAATAAAATAAAATCCTTAAAAGGTTAAAATTAGAAAGCAGGTGAATTAGAACTCTGACATTACTCTGTTGACATACAGGAGCTTCTTGGAAGGATGAGAATCAAGTTTTTTCAGTTTGGTGCCTCAGTCTTGGGCTGGATGGTTTTGTAAAATGTTATAAAGATTTGATTTAAAGTTGTCAGACAGTTTTGACATTCAGGTGAAAGTACTGCTGCTGCATTTGGAACAATTTGCATATCCCACTGCTAAATGGAACGTTTGAGGTGTACACTAGTGTAAAGAAATTAAAAACAAGCTATTACACATGCTTAAGTGTATGTATTCACAACCTGATGGTTGGATCACACTACCTCAACCCCTTCCAATTTAATCTGCGATTTACTCTTCTATAATAAATTGCCTTAGCATGTTATTCTCACCCGAAGATCTAATCATGCATGTAAGAAGCGAAGTAATTACAGCCCCCTCTCGTCTAAGAAGCCTCTCAAGCCCTATAGGCTCTTTATATACAATGCAGCAACCCAATCTATTGTAAACTTCCTGTCTGCAATCTGGATTTCTGATTCTGAATCTATTAAATGTCATCAGATTAGTTTGGACATCTCCAATGAAAGCATTTTTATCCTTCCTATAGTAAGTTGTAAAGCTATTCCTGGGCATGAATATATTCTTACTTTCTGCTTTTGAGTCAATATGCCTACTTAAAGAAAGGGGAAGGTTTAAAGTAAGAATTCATACTAAGAAAAATAGGAAGCATAACAATTTCTATGTAGAAATAAGTATAATATCAAACAATTAAGATTAAATATTGTGAAATGGCAGAAGTTTTTTCTGTTTTACTTATGATTATAAATTATTTTCAGGTAGAGATTAATTGTTAGAAGTCAATCAAGAAAGAGCTTAAGTAGTAAATCCAAGGCCTTGAAAATAATAAAGCATGTCTACGAAGACAAAACCTATGGGAAAACATCACTGGACATTACCTTCAGCCTTCAGAATCTCAAAGGGCACTTCAAGCACTCCATTCATTTATCTATGAAAAAGTAAATACTTAGAATTAATAATTATTCAAGAAACCATTTGCATTTATAGTAATGTCTTCATGATTAGCTTTGAAAAGTATGTAGATGACTTCATGAATGCTAATATCTCTAGTTTAAGAAAAAAATTGAAGTTATCAATCATTACAAGTACTGAAAACATGCAGTACAGATTCTTAGCAACGCATGTCACATTCAATGCAAAGCACTATGTGTACATTTTTGAAAGGTCAGAGTATCAATAGGTTTCTTAAATGACATTAACAATGATTTCTAGTTTTTAATAGTCATATTTCTCCAACTCATTTATTTGCATATTCCTATCTTTTAATTTTATGCTTTTGGATGTGTGTGCAGGTGTATCTTCACATGTGCATATATGTACACATTTGTGTTTGGAGGCTGGAGGACAGCCTTTGGTATTATGTTCAGAAATGCCGCCCACCTCCTTTGAGAAGGGTCTCTTACTAACCTAAATTAGGAAAGACTGCCTGGCCAGCAAGGCCCCAGTGACCCTCTTGTCTCTGTCCCCCTAGCACTGGGATTACAAGCACATGCCACGTCTGGCTTTATACAGTTATGCTATGGAACACAGTCAAGTCCCTGCATGTGTACCACAAGCACTTTACTAACTGAACAATCCTTCCTGCCCTGCATATTAATATGTAAATACTATGTGAAGATCTACAATGTATAACAAAATGGCAAGTGAGAACAAGTTATCTAGTATATAAAGGTAAGATATAGATTCTATAAAAATGGTAGATAAGGATAACAAGTTTGCATAAGCACAGAAAATTAAAAGGATTGAAAAGTAAAAAGGAGGGAGAGCTATAAGGCAGCAAAGGCAACATGTTCAGTAGAACTTTGTAGCAAGGCTGACCAAGACCTGAGGTAGGAATGGATACACAAGTGGTTGTTTCTTTAAAAAAAAAAAAAAGATTCTATTCTATTCTACTTATCTGTGTGAAATTATGTTTGTAATATATATATGTGTGTGTGTGTGTGTGTGTGTGTGTGTCATATACATACATGTGTATAGAGACCAGAAAACACTAGGAGTCCTATGCTATCACTTTCTGCTTTATTCCCTTGAGACAGAGTCTCTCATTGAATTTAGAGCTGGGTGGATGGCCAAGAATCTCCTTTAACCCCGTCTCTAGCGTGTACAGTGCTGAGGGTTACGGTAATAAATGACCATAACCAGCTTTTTATGTGGGTGCCAGAGATCTGAACTGGGTTCATGCTTATATAACAAGTTCCCTTACCTGCTGAGCCATCTCCCAAGCACCTAGAGAAGACCCTTTTAGATTCCTTTCCAACTATATGCATTTGGAGAATATAAAATCAAAGCTGAGACAGAAGCAGCAGCAAACAGGATGTTGAGGAGCTTTTGAAAACAATTTGATATATTTCACTATAAGAAGATTTAGCCATAAGCAGTTCTCTCATTCAAACTTGATCTTAATATTTTATGTCCTTGGAAAGTGATCTTTCTAAATTTGCTATGAAATCTCTATGATGACCTTGATGTCATATTTACTAATAATCTCCACAGAGATTCAGTCATTTAAAGTCTCAAAAGTAGTTTTGCTAATGGAAATGCAATACATAAACATAAGCTAATCCTATAAGCCAGTATATCTACAATGAAAGACCCCTTTTAAAAAGTCTGAGGATTTTAATTGGCTGGATCTTTAATATGCATATGCAACATTATTGCAAACAGAAACAAAGAATCAAGCAATAAACCACAGCAGCAAAATAAAAGACACCTAAGTCTAAGCTGTGCTGACAGACAAATGGCGTCCAGAAAACGAAAAGGACAGTGTCATTACATTGAGGAAACATGACCAATCCCACAATTACTCTGCAGCTGCAAGCCTCAGGGAGCCACTGGAGAACAGCTTCAGGAGCAAGATCAAAACCATTGATAACAGGACAAGAGGATGATCAGGAACAAAAGAGAGAGGAAGATTAGGTTATAAAGTGGCCCAGAAAAAGAGATTAGAGAAATTAATTTGGCCATTACATGATCCATCATAAGAGTGAGTTTTATTTACTGTTTCTCTCACTCATTAGAGCGGAGCACAACAGGCCAGGCCCTTCGTCTTCTTCACACTATCTTCAGTAGCAAGAACAGTGTCTGCTGGGGTCTAGACGATCAATGCATTTTTTGAAGAAAAGAATGAGCAAACTGACCCACCTATGACAACCACTCATGTCTACATCTAGAATACAAAGAAAAGGTCTAGAGCTTGAAGAAGTTACATGTCGTATACTAATTTAAACTCTCCCTTCAGCAAACCCAAGCTCCTATAATACATAGATTACCATTATTATACTGTTCAAAGAAAAGGAAAAAATAAACAAGCAAGCAAATTATTATATTTATGACAGTGAAGTCAAACACCACAAGGTAGCAATGCCGAGAGCTACATGAACTGCTATTTTCATAGGTTTGGAAAAAGAAGTTTCTTACAAGAGGTGACAACAGAAAGACACCTAGGTTGTTAAGTGAAAGAGTAAAAACATATATCTAAGAGTATCCTGGCTGCTGCCAGATTGAATGATGACAAACATTATCTTCCTTAAATACTATGACTAACACACAGCAAGCTGGCTGCTCATTAACTATTATTTTTATATTGCTATTTTTATCAATTGTGGGTTTCTTCAGTAGATAAGCCTGTCGAATGTATTCATTTTTATCTTCTCTGAAGTTCTTTAAATAGTGCCTAACAAGAACTCAATAAACATTTACAGAACTGAAAAGAAGACAACTATTATCACTTAATTAATTAGAAACATAAACAGACTATGAAGATATAAAAAAGTCACCATATTTCATATGCCTGAGTCAATCTAACCAATATCACATAATAATTAATCTTCCCCAGATTTATAAAAAAGTAAAGAATAAAAAATGAAAAATATGGCTAGGGCCAGTAAGTCAGGAATCCAAGTAATACAGTTAATCAGAAAAGATAAAATGAAGTTGTCAATATTAAGCCAGTATCCTGCTCATTTAAATACTGTCTGCCTTTATCTGATTAACACAATTTTTCTCTAACACAAGGACTAATATATAACCGTATCTGCTTCACTTATGCATTCACAGCACTAGCTCAGGCTTGCTTATAGCAAACACTTATTTTAAACCCTTTGTTGAACTAATCTAAAGTTATCATGAGCAATCCTGGGTTTTTTTGTTGTTTGTTTGCATCACTCGAACTGAACTTAGGACCTCACACATGACCTATCACTAAGCTGTATCCCCATCCTTTATTTCACTTCTATTTTTAGACAGAGTGTCACTAAATTGCCCAGGAAGGCCTCGAACTCAGGTACTTTTGCCTTACTCTCCAGGTATCTTGGATTATGGCCCAGCACCACTAAGGCCAGTAACAGTTCTGATCTTAATACAACTAGCCAAAAGATGGATAAATTTTAAATATAGACTTCAATGGAATAAATATCTCAGTTCCATGCAAACGTGTATAAAATAAAGTAGGTTTTTACAAAGACTGAAAAATAACTGAAGAGTAAATAATGGAGTTAGAAGAGCAATGCATTAGCACATGGTAATTATAGCTTATTGATTAAAGGCAGTATTTCCAAAGAATTACAAGGAGAAACAAATTCTCCCTACCAATTATCATGTGGAAATAAAGTTTATATATCTGAATGTAATAAATAAAAAATCAGTCATCTTTTGAAATATGTATGTATAATCTACTGAACTACATGATGAGGAAAACTTTATAGGCACACAGCACTATGGAAACAAAATGTATCAATTTTGCTACATACATAAGACAAAAACTGCCTTTCAATACTTATCATTACACATATACATTTGTTACAGCTCTCACCCCACATCAAAAAAGCTTCTTTTTTCAGTTATCAGAGAGATTACAGAGAATCATGATTGGTAAAAGTGCAGAGAAGAAGTGACTGTGGAGGACCCACTCTCAAATACGACATCCATAAACCAACACTACACCCAAGGCTTAGGAAACACTGAAAGATATGGAGATGAATTCTAAGAGCAAGAGAGACAGCAAGAATAATGCAAATATTTTCTTCTGGAACTCTTAATAGTTATGGTTGCCCTACATAAAACCTGCAGAAGACTACACCAGTTAACATTCCAGCATGGATGGGGGAACGATTCAAAATGCCTAAGACCTAGCTGGGAGCTGCAAGAATGCTAGACACACTATGGCTACTAAGAGAATTGTCGGTTTTTGTTTTTTTTTTCAGGGACAACTCCCCTGATAGGTTATTCGTGTCTAAGTGGCCAGCCCTACAGTCACGTGGGCAAGGATGTGGAAGAAGATGAAGAGGGGAAAAGTGGACATGATTAATGTGGATTGCATTCAAGTATAAAAGTCTCAAACTTTTAAAGACACTGAAAAAAATGTTAAGGCAAACTGAGTTCTCCTTTTCTGTAATGGTGGTCTCTCAGGTGCAGGCAATAATTTTGGCTTTGAATATTATTAGTGAGCAACATTAAAGATGGGACAGGCCATATGGTTTACTTTAAGAATTATTAAAATAGTGGCCTAGCTGAGCCCTGTAAGAAGGCTATTAGAAATCATAACAAATCTACTGGGAAGGACTTCTACAGCAATACCAAAATCCATTCCTTTGAGTCAATTAAACTTACTATTTATTAGGCACCATCCTTTTTCCAAAGATGGGGAGAAAGTTCAAAGGGATTATTTACATAACACTGATTTCAAACTCTGAAATCCAATTGACTTTTATTTTTTCTTCCTTGTTCCTTTCAAAACTCCCTTTGTTTTATTGTGCAGTATTACTGTTTGTTTTTATTCTCCAATAGCACAGTTCCTTAAATAAATTCCTAAAAACCAACACACCAACAAATAAATAAAAACTCAACGTCTATAAAGAGTACACAGTCTAACCTGCTTAATTATTAAGAAGTAAACAGAATACACTTCTGAATTATTTATTTAATTGCCTT